TTCATATATTTACTTGCTGCTTTTATTTCTTTGTCTGAGAAATGTCTGTTCATTTCAGATGCCCATTTTTGAATTGGGTCTTTATATTTCGGGGGGCTGGTTGTTTTGAGATCTTTATATATTTTAGATAATAGTCATTTGTCTGAGGAGCAGCTGGTAGAAAGTATTTCTCACATTGTAGGTAGTCTATTAGTTCTGTTGATGGTTTCTTTTGCAGTGCAGAAGCTTTTTAATAAGATGAGATCCCAGTTGTTGATTCTTTCTGCTAGTTCCCGTGCTACTGAGGATTTGTTCATAAAGTCTTTTCCTATGCCAATGTCTTCCAGAGTTCTGCCTAACTTATCTTCCAGCAAGTTTAGTGTTTTTGTTTTTATATTTAGATGTTTAATCCACTTGGATTTTAATTTAGTGCATGGTGACAGATAAGGGTCCAGTTTTAATCTTTGGCAGCTTGAGATCCAGTTTTTCCAACACCATTTATTAAAGAGGCTATCTTTCCTCCAGTGGGTACTGTCAGCTCCTTTGCCAAAGATGAGGTAGCTGAGTGCATCTGGAGTTGTTTTTGTGTCTTCCAATCTGTTCCACTGATCCTCAGGTCTGTTTCTTTGCCAGTACCATGCTGTTTTTATCATAGTGGCTTTGTAGTATAGTAGTAGAGACTCTTCTTGACTGATAATTTCATACACTTTTCTTGTACATGTTGACCGGAAAGTTTTGAGAAATTCTATCAGGTACTGTGTTGAATATTCTTCAAATGAGGTTCACCTGATGTTTTTCTCAAACCTAGAGTTAAAGACTCTTGAGAGGAAGACCACCAAGATGCCGTTTTCACCATATATACTAGGGATACTTACTGTCAACACTAAGAATACATGGTATCAATAGTATCAGTAGAACTTATCTCTGTTACTGCTGACCTCGATCATCTTGCTAAGGTAGTACTGTCAGATTTCTCCATGTAAAGTTATTCTTCCCCCGCTTTCCATGCTCTAGTCTCTGGAAGTGAGCTCACAGTCCAGCAGTGCAGTCACAGTCCACCTCCTTGAGAATGGAATATGTACAGAATTTACTTGGAACTCTTCTGCACTATGGATTTGTTTATTCTTCTGTGCTCGGCTCTTTATTCAGTCACTTATTCAAATCAGTTTGGGCTCACAGGTATTCATTTTAAACGTTGGGTTATCATCCAACAGCACCTTACATAGTTGGTTGCTGAGCTTCGGCCATTAGGAGCTGTTGCAGATGAGGACTTGTCCATCTTGCACACCTCTGCCATTGTAGCTGCCGCTGCTGTTTGAATGCTCCCTTACTTTCTGACAGACTTATCTTGTTTATCCTGTCCCACTCCTATCCACTTCTCTGAGAAATTCTCATCCCTCTTATTAAAAGGACAAAGGTAATAGAAACCAAGATCTCAGGTGGGCACCTGCAACCCCTAGTACTCAGGAGGCTGAAGCAGGAGGCTGCTTTCCGTTTGAGGCAAGCCTGGGCTATACAGTGGGTTCAAGGCCAACCAGAACGACACAGCAAGACCCCTCTCTCAAAAAAACGAACAAAAAACACCAAGGTCTGGACCCTCGTGTGCTCATTGATTCTAGACCGGCTCAGCTGACAAGCAAAGAAACAAATATATGTTTGTGCATTAAATCTAGAACTACATATACCCATAACTTGCTGCATGCCATCATTTGTATCTACATTAAGTTAAACGTGAGTTCACAGTGGTCTCCAACTCGAATTTGTTATTTCGTGAGGCATTTTAACCCCTTCCTCCCCTTGCTATCTAGAACATCTCACTTCAGCAGTGAGAAGCCTGCTTGGCATCTTCCACCATCCCTTTATTTAACTGCTCAATTCCACCACACACATATAGTAGTATTAGAATTGTTAACCTGTTGTCCTATGGAAAACATTATCAACCAAGCTACAGTATTTAGGTTCAGTTCCTTTTGCCTTTACTCAGAGATCCAACTCATTTCCCAAGTTACTCAGGGCAGGCTGCTGGTGTAGCACAGTAGCAGAGCCACCTTCCGAGCATGCAGAAGACCCTGGGCTCCATCCCCAGCACCATAAAACAAAAAACAAAGTTACTTTCGGCATCACTCCCTCCCCCTCTCCCTTCAGGAAGGTTGTTTCTGTTTGTAATATAATTCGACCACCTCACCATTTGCATTCCTGGCTGGGATCATCTGACCTTCTAAATGATTACTTATTTACTACCAAACAAAACAATGCAATTTAATTCTTTACTGTGGGAGAGTGAGGCTGAGATGTCCCCAGTGGAACTTAAAAGATTCTAATTTAGACTTTTTTAAAAATTTTTTTCTCTACTTTAAAATAAAAATGTATTGAAAGCTACTATATAATTCATTTATTTTTAAAATGTACTTGCAATGTTTTGCATATAAGAAATGACTTGTAAAGAGAAGAAAAAAAAAAAACCAGTTGCTCCCTTGGACAATTGAGACTTGGGTTTCTCTAAGAGCTTCCTGTTACTTTATTCAATTTTCTTACCTGCAAATGGGGATAAAGAGTTTCCCAACCTGGGCTGTGAATCCATGGCAAATGTACTGATAGAATTCTGTCACTCAAGGGTAAATATGCAACAGCTTCTTAATTGTAATGAATGTGGGTTCACTCCATGCCCCGGAAGAAATAACATCTACCTAATAATTTTCACACAATTGCAAAATTTTCTATTTTCATGCAGTCAACTTCACAAAGTACTATATAATGACCCCAACAATTACTATTCATATCACTAAGGAATTATTTTTGTCTAACAACCTGGAATCTTTACTCAACTTAAATTCTTAAATTATCCAGTTACTGGGCTGGGGATTTTGCTCAGTGGTTCTGCCGCCAGCCTTGCAAGTACAAGGTCCTGAATTTGATCCCCATGTACCAAAAAACAAACAAAAATTGTCCAGTTACCTATACATAATTATATTTATTCTTAAGCACACAAGAGAGTTTAGAGAGAGTTGGTGATCATTCATGAAAGATTATCTTTTTTTTCCCTCATTGAAGGATTATCTTGACTATAAGAAAATTCTCCCAAAAAAGAAAAAAATCTTTCTACGATTCTGTTACATTAACATTTCTCTTTTTTTTATAATCATAAACTTCCAAGAATATAGTTTAAACTTCCACTGTGATCATTCATTTCAATGAAATCACTAGAAAAGAAGACATCAAAAGTAAATTCACCATGTCAACCTTTGGAGGAATGAAATGTACTCAAACCTCTTTAGTTTCTTTATGGAAACCAGCATTTATCTGTAAGTCGTTCATTCCTCTTCAACACTTTTGCATGTAATTTAACTCAAAAATCTAATGTCTTTCTTTGTAGTAAGTATTTAGGAGAGAAAGTCATTTTACTTTTTCCAAATACTGTCAAGTTTATTTTCTTACATTATTCTAGGTTAAAATGAAATATCTGGAATACTAAAAACTACAATTTCCTTGTTAAATATTCAGAGACAGTATACTGTTAAATCTTACTGAAAATCCCCTGCCCCCCCACTTTTTTTTGGTACCAGGGATCAAACTCAGGATGTTACACTTGCGAAGCAGACAGCGGAACCACTGAGCTAAATTCCCGGCCATTTTTTTTTTTTAAGAAATCTCTCCCCCCACCACCCTCTTTTTTTGCAGTACCAGGGATCAAACTCAGAACCTTGCACTTGTGAGGCAGGCATGGTGTCGCTGAGCTAAATCCCTGGCCCTAAAAATCCCACTCTTGATAATTTTTAAAAATCTGAAGATACTATAAGAACAACTGTTTCTTTCCCTCTGTCTCCAGAGAACATCCAATAAGTTACTCTATAAATAAATCACTGACATAAGTTTGTACAAATCTTGCAGTTTCCCAAAGGCTGCTTCAGACTCTAGCTGTCTATACAGGAAATGAACTTATTTTGAGCAGGCTGGAGACAAGAGCAGGAGGCAAGATTAGAGGTAAAGACTGGGATAAGTAGGGCTCAAAAAAAAAAAAAAAACCCTAGTAGGGCTCAAAAAAAAAAAAAAAACCCTAAAAGGTTTTTGAGAGGTGGGTTGAAGAAGAGATACAAGCAATTCCAGGAGACAACTGCTTCAGTCAAGGGGTCCCAGTGCTATAAAAAAGAAGGCTCTCAGACACAATTATCAAAGTTCAACATTCCTCCATCCAAACTCCAAAATGGTTATCACAATGATTTACAGTATGCTACCATAAAGAAATAGATCAAATCATGAGGAATCAATAAAGTTCAGAATTTCTCAAATCCTAAAATATCTGGACAACTGTTGGAGGAAGGGCAATAAGGAAAGGCCAAAGGACTGCCTAAATGCATCCCGGGGAATACAATGCCTCCTGGATTTGTTCTCTCTGCACCAAAACCAGTTTTCCTGGTACTAAATACCAAGAATCACAGCCAAAGAGGTGAGCAGGCAGCCTCAGCAAGATTTTTTTCACACCTCTAGAAATAAATCTCGCAATTTGTTTTGAGGGTTCACATCATGCAACAACTGACAAAGTCCAAAGGCACAACTGCCCAGATAGGGACAGTAAGAAAATCACAAAACAAAGCTGGGTTTATTTGAAAGCGGTTTGCCTAGCTTCACACCCACCCAACTTCTCAGCAGTCTGTTCTCTCAGGGGACTGTAATTTTGAGGAGTACTTGTTCCCAGACTTATTACTCCCATAGGCAGCAGGGGAAGTCACTAGCTATGATCTCAACCAAGAGTCAGGCTCAGGATTCCATCATTAAGCTTACATTTCAATCTCCTAACTCAGAGGTATGGGCTTTTAATAGTCTTTTCATCCTGACTTACAGGAGGTAATCCTATTAAAAGTTCAGCCTGCCTGGGAATTTACCTGCTTCTCTGTGGCTTACCCAGGCTACCTAGGTAATACCACAGAATAAGCAGGAGTATCTCTGCAGACTTGGTCCCTTGTCCAAGAGCATCCCTGAGATGTCTGAGATTATCAAGGCTGCAGAGTGCCGGGATAACCTACCTGCCACTCTGGTCTGAGGTCCAAGTAACTGACTGCCCCTCTGGTTTGGTTCTGTAGGATATCCTGATGGCATGAGGAAAGTCAGTGGCTGTCTGAGCCCCTGTCTTCCTGATCTGTAAGCTCCAGGTGTCAGTGTCAAAGAAGAGTTCCCCGCAGCTAGGGGCCTGGCTACAGCGTGCAAAATAGTCTAACTGCTCCCTCCAATGATCTGCAGGCAGAGTCACAAGGTCATGAACAATCTCATTTCTGAGCTCTTCGGGAACAGTCGTGAGCTTGGAAGGCCTTGTGAATTTTTCAATACCTGGCACAGCAGCAACATCCACCTCTTCGACCTTTAACACAGATAAATCACAGCAGTCCAACACTAGCAAAAAATCCTCCCTCCCATGATTCTTTGTGTCACAGCAGTACTTTGAGCTACAGATCCCAGAAGCCTGTTCCTGGTTGTCATGGTTACCATCTTTATCAGAAGTATCTTCTTTACCTTTATCACAGATTACAAAATCATTATAACACACATTAAATGTGGTCCTTGCATTTGTCACAGGAATATGGCAGAGTTCAGGTGTCCTAAATTTGCAGGTTTCCTTTGATGCCAACTGGCAGGTTTCCTTGGCAGAACTAGTCCGTTTCTTGAATCTGCTTCCATCCTCAAAGAAAAGCACTATGGTGCCCTCAATGATGTGACTTTCAAAATCTACCTCTAAATCCAGTACATAGTGCTTCACAAGCATGTGGCTGGTGTTGGCCATGAGAGGCAGATCATCTCGAGAAGGGTCCAGCTTTATGTCCATGGTGTAGTCTGCTATTCGAGAGCTTTGCTAAAATCTCAGATGGGGCTTTGTCTCGGCCTTAAATCTTCCACAATCGTAAGTGGCTGCTAACAAAAATAAAAAATAAAAAACAGATGTCACAAGTTATGTTTCACAATTTTCAATCCCCTAGCAAAGAAGAAAAGTACAATCAGGTAAATTCCAAAGAGGGCCCTAAATACTCCTGCAGACTGCTCCTCCAAGTTGACTGCCATCCTTAATAAAACCTCACTGTGGTAGATGCTCATGGCTACAAGGCAGACTAATCTTCTTGACATGAAAGAAAACTGCATTATGAGGTTTCTAAAAATATTCCAATTACCAATGGAATAAAATGGGCCTCCACAAAGCCAGAAGAATCATGTTCCTAACTAGAACAGTCCTTGTTTTGGAAAAGAGCAATTGTTATGCAAAATCGTAACTGAGAATCACTGTGCCTATTGTTTTAAAAGATATTAAATGTATCATTTCTAATTTTGTGCATTGAAAGATAAGTGATTGTTTCTCTACTGTGTTTCTAAGTAACAAGTGTGAATGAGGGCTAAATGGCCTCATACATTTTATTCTTTGAGAGTAATAATTTAATACATACAATGTAACTCCAGGGATTAATGTACTTTTCACATTAGGACTGCTCTCATATCAGCACTTCCAGTAAATTATGGGAAAATGAGCCAATTTACCGGGAGTGCATTCTAAGTATTCCTTTGAGATTGTTCATGGAGATTTTTCAAATTTATAGTTAAATACTCAAGGTATATCATTACATCTTAATAGCTGAAAACCCATTAACATTCTGGATAATAGCCTTCTTGTGGCAAACAAAAGGTCTTCTGATTTGGAAAAAAAAATATGCAAATACCTATAAAAGGAGAGAAATTAAAATGTAGAAACAGATGTTGTAATAAAATGTACAAATTCTTCATAAAAGTTCTGAATCAAAATGTATTCTTATTATATAATAGCAATAGAGCTAAAAAATTATTTCAGGGCCTGATGTGCACCTGATTTCTTTAAGCATATGCTATTCATTTATTCTTTTATCAAAAATATTTTTAAATGGAAGAGGAAAAATAAAAACTTTGACAGAGTAGATATATTTAAAACAATTTTTGTATTTCTAAATATCAGGAGGCATTCTTTCATCACCTATAAAACATTACTTGCTTGAGTTTTCAAGTAAATTGTGCCCCCATACTGTTTTAACTCGCTTTTCTGCTGACTTCAGCTGCCTCTCCACTATATCTCTTTATGTCCTTCCCCTGTAAAATCTCATTCCAGAAAACAAACCTATCGAAATTTTTGTTTTCTACCTCTCCACAGGTGATTTTAAAACTGTGGTCTCCTATAGCCTTATACAATTTGGTCGAAGCTATTTTTCTAGTTGAGATGATACTGTCTCCCTTTGCATCTCTGTCTGGGCTTGCTCAAGACGCTGCTCCTTGAAGATGGCCTGCTTCCATGCCACCCTGACTTCTGCACTGAGCCTTCTCCCATCCCAGGGCACTCTTAGCTCCCATCTCTCATATCCACCTGCGCAATCCTAGTCTCTCTCCATGCCTCAGCTCAAGCACAGCTGCCACTCAAAACCCTCCCCTGGTGCCTATCTCTAATCCACCAAATTGAAGTCATGAAGGCATTCATGACTTTAAACATAATAGGAGTAGAGAGAAATTAGGGATGCAAATCACAGTTTGAGATTTCCTTATGCAGAAGTTGGTACTTCTCTTGAGCCTAGAGAAGTCAATGGGTGCAAACTAGGGTATATTATTTTCTGTATGAGAATGATTGAACATATTAATTAATGATTAACAACCTCTGATAAAGCCACTGACTATATTCATGTAAAGAGAAACAATGATGCTAAAATTCCATCCTGCTGGTGTTCTAAGCTGCTAACATGCACCCTACTGATTGGGCTTTTCAAACAACATTAATTTTTAAAAAATGAAATCACACACAGAAAAACTTTGTGGCTGTCTAAACATTCATATTTGAAGAAAAATAGCTTAGCATTTCCATAAATAGAGACACAATCATTCATTGTCTAACCTTAGTAGATGCTTTCATTTATGAAAATTTGTATAATTTAAGAACAAAACAGGGCTGTGGATTTAGCTCAGTGGCAATGCATGTGCTTCACAAGCACAAGGTCCTGAGTTCAATCCCCAGTACCAAAAAAATAAAAAGAACAAAATACATTCTATAGAGCAGGGGACTCAGTCCATGGCCTAATGAAACCAGGCCATACAAAAGGCGGTAAATGAAGAGTAAATGAGTGAAGTTTCATCTGTATTGACAGCCACACCCCATTACTCACATGACTACATGAGTTCCACCCACTAACAGATCAGCAATGGCACTGGATTCTCATAGGAGTACAAATGCTACTATGAACTGTGCCTGGCAGGGATCTAAACTGCTCACTCCTTATGTGACTCTGATGCCCGGTGACCGGAGGTAGTGCAGAAGTAGTGATGCTAGCACAAGGGAGTGGCTGCAAGTAGAGATTGATATTACCAGAGAGGTTTGACTGCACAGAGACCATAATAAATCAATTGTTGCAAACTCTTATCAAAACCCTATCATGGGGCTGGGGATTTAGCTCAGTGGTTCTGCTGCCTGCCTTGCAAGCACAAGGTCCCAAATTTGATCCCCAGTACCTAAAACAAAACAAAAAAACTCTATCAGTGACTGGCAAGTGAATATTAGGCTGGCTACATGTGGTGACAGGCTTTATAATGGCAAGTGAGTTGATACACTTCAACTGTACAGCTGCATCTGGTAGCAGGCTTTAAATAAGAATCCAACATTTATTCCAGTCCACACTTGGCACACCCATTATTTTATTTACCACTTCTGTCCATACCTCTTTCCCATTCTACACATTTGTCTCCGTCACAGTTTGGGTAAGCTCACAAGCTAACTAGCCAAAATAATTAAAATGTAAACAACACCAGAAAGCTTCTTTGAAAAGGGAGAAAGACTCATGATGAGACAGCAGAAGACTTTAGGACTGCCAATAAAAAGAAAGTGGCATATGAAAGAAAACACCAAGAATACTACTTAAATTACAGATTTATTGCAGCAGGTGATCTGTGTTCTCCAAGCCTGCTTCGTGTAATATGTGGTGACCAGATATCCAACCAACTTATGAAACCTTCAAAACTATTTCACCACATGGAGATCAAGCACCTGCATTAAAAGACAAACCTTTGGACTTTTTCAAAAGAAAAAAATTTAAAAGAGGCAATTATTTAAGGTCACTACTTCATCAAATGTGTCTGCACTGAGAGCATCATTCTTTGTGGCTACTTACACTGCTAAAGCTAAGAAGCCCTTTAAATTGGTGAAGAACTGATCCTGTGTGCTGCTAAGGACATATGTTGTGAACTTTCAGGAGAGGCTGCGGTTCAAAAGATGGCTCATGCTCCTTTATCAACTAGCAACTGTAACTAGACAAACTGATGAAACAGCAACAGATATTCAGGCACAATTTCTGGAGAGGATTGAGTCACCAAGGTATGCAATTCAGATTTACAAGTCTACCGATGTTGGCAAAGCAACAATGCTTGTTCTTATTTGACATATGTTTCAGGAAGATGTGCGTGAGAATATGTTATATGCATTTTTATTACCAATCAACACCACACCTGCAGAACTATTCAAGTCTTTGCATGATTACATACCAGGAAAACTGAACTGATCCCTTGATGTTGACATATACACACACACACACACACACACATACACATATACATACATACATACACACACAATAGAGTGGCTGCCATGACCAGATGACTTTTTGGTTTCACTATGCAGGTTAAAGAGGTTGCTTTTGAATTTGAGTGTATGGACTACATTATCCATAAAGAAATGCTTGCTAGCTGAAAAATGTCACCTGAACTTAACATTTTGCAAGATGTAATTAAAATTATCAATCCTATTAAAGCACATGCCCTATACTCATATTTATTCATGCAGCTCTACAAGGAGATGGGCACAGATCACACACATCTTCTCCTACTTTTTCTATATACAGAAGTGAGAGAGCTTGCAGAAAGGAGATTGCTTTCTAAAGGCAGATAACTGATCAGAGTTTCTGAGTTATGCAAATCACTTCAGAGTTTTCTTTTAGAAAGCCAGTCACCACTGGAGCACATTTCAGTGATACAGAATGGTTCACTAAACTTGCTCATGCATGTGAAATAATCAACTTGCTCAAAGACTCAATGTCACTTCAGGGGAGCATAAAAAGTATATTCAAGTCAGCAGCTAAAGTGGCTGCATTCAAAGCCGAATTGGTATTATGGGTACAGTGAGTGAACACCAGGAGTTTTGATGTTTTTCAAACATTTGCAGAGATTTTGAAAGACTGAGACGGAGCCTTCTTTCTCCCAGCTGGTGCATGATCACCTATCTCAACTTTAATACAGCTTAAGCAGTACTTCTTAAACAACAAGAGACCCCTGAATTGTAAAGGAACGGCTATACAACCCATTTGAGAATAAGCCAGGTGAACTGATTTTGTCTGCCCCAGAAAAGTATCAACTGCTTGAGACTGAAAATTATGGTGGCCTTAGAACTATGTTTGAGACAACTTCAAATCTCCATGCATTATGGATTAAACTCAAAGCAGGATGTCCTGAGACTGCCACAAAAGCACTGAAAAGCCTGCTTCCATTCCCAACATTCTATCTCTAGCAGAGACAGTAACCAAAATGATATAACAGAGCAGACTGGACATAAGCAACACACTGGTTGGCACACTCTTCCATGACCCCTAGATGTGACAACCAGTTGCAGGAAAACAAGCTCAGGGGTCCCATTGTTTTATGGTGAGTGGCATAATTTTTTCATTATATACTACAGCGTAACACCAATAGAAATGAAATACATAATAAATGTAATGTACTTGAATCATCCCAAAGCCATGTCTTCCACAAAACTGGTCCCTGGTGCTAAAAAGGCTGTGGACAGCTACAATAGAGCACTTTACTGCACTTGTCCTTGGCACCAGAGAACAATGCTGTGGCACTGCCACAGGGCCCTGTTCTTTCACACCTGTTCTCACAACCATTGCTACCTCTAAAATAAGTGTACTATATTGTGTGTTTGGGGATTTTTATCTTTGCGGTTTTGCTTTTTGGTGGTGGTGGTGTTTTTATTTTTGGCAGAGACACAGGATCTTGTTATATTGCCCAAGCTGGCCCCAAACTCCTAGGCTCAAATGATGCCCGGAGGTTGGAACTACAGGCATGCGTCACCACATCCAGCTTTAATTTGTATTTTAAGTACTTAAATATTTGTCATTCCTCTCGGTCTCAGGGCCATCTCATTTGTATTGTCCAAGCACAAATCAAATGTCACCTCTTCCATTTCCTCACTCCTCTTTCTTTATCTTCTTCAAGTTTTAGACTACTAACTATTTCTTCCCGTGAAGAATTTCCCCCACTTTAGGGGGAAACATAGAAAGCTTAAAGTCAGTTCTAGAATATTCAGAAGAGAACTGTCACTTTTGTATTTTTTCCAACCTAGATGATGTGTAATATGTCCTGTATCATTTGCTGCTTATTTACCTACTCCCTACTTGCCTTGGATTCATGGATGACCTCAATCTCCTTTCTCTGAAAGCACGCAGCTCTTACTGGTGTCAACTGGGGTCACAATTCCACATTTACGAAGAACTGAACTGACTGTGGTTTCAGCGCGTGTCTGTGGCCACCTTGAAAGGCCTCTCTCAGCAAATGGTAAACATATTTCTAAGCAGTCTGTTGACTTCAGCATTTTTGGCTATTATTGTGCTCCAATTTAAAATGCCAGCCTGTCTCACTGAAACATTTTTCCATTCTCTGTCAAAAGCCATAATATATAAAAGTTCCCCTTTTATCAAAACCCATGGTTAGTTTTCCAGTGGCTAACCACTGCAACCTCTAAAATAAGTGTACTATGTGGTATGTATTTTAAATGCTTAAATAATTTTCTCAGCAGCACCATTAAAAGGATTTGAAAAGATTAATGTACAGCAATATTTTCTTAATCAGGTGGGGAAGAATCAAATAATAAACAGAGCTATGGCTCAGAAAAGAAATTCCTCTGCCACTTTGACCCAAACTGAAATAAGTCTCTGTAGAGGCATTCCCAATTCCACCAATGAAAATAACTTCATTCTCCTCTCAAGCTACAAAGCAATGTATATCACTCTCATGGCCTTTAACTCAACCTGCCTCATTGTACTCCAGTGTTCTATCAATTCTTTGGGACTGATTTATTTTTGTGTCCATCACCATGTTAAATAGAGTACACTGTATACAGTAGGTTCTCAGTGTCTGTGAAATTCATATGTAAAGGCATTTGTAATTTTAACGTCTAGTTACTTACAGGACCAGCCTGGCTTGCATAAGTTATACAGGGCAGCAGAAATCACTGTTTAGCAAATATCTTCCTCCATACATCTCATTGTTTTCCTCTCAGGTTACACCTGTGCCTCTTTATACGGCATCTTTTTTCTTGCAGCTTGGGGGAAAAGAAAAAACTTTTTACATATATGCTTATTCTTTAGCATTAGCACAGTAAGAGTAGTTTCTTGAAATTTAATTTTATTGATTACTTGACCAGAGCATGACAGCTTTCTCTACTCCAGGCATATTCGTTCTTTAGAAGACATCTAATGCCCTTAATGATAAGCCAGTTTACTTGTGGAAATAACAGTTTCTGTGCCAACTGCACAGACACGCAAATGCATAGAGTCATAGGAACACAGATTATTGCTATGAAATTAAATAACAATTTCAGAACTGAAGGAAATTTAAAGTATTGTCTTGAAATTGTGTATTATATTTAGAAATATCACATGACACATTATTCTGCAACTTATTTAACCCAATGGTTTTGAAATATACCATATTAATGCATACAGATCTATTTTATTTCTTTTAACTGTTTAGTGGCCCCATATGAATATGTATATTCCCCTATTGGTAAGTATTTAAGATCTCTTAAATCTTTCACTATTAAAATGCTGCAAAGGACTTCCTTCTACACATATCCAAGTGCTGCTTTTCCTGGGTTAAATACCCAGAAATGCCATGTTTCCTGATACTGTCACAACTACTATCTTTTGATTTATTTTTTCCTGGTACACATTTCTATACCTTTATTTTTATTTCTGACTTTTATGGGTCGTTTTGCCTAGACCGACTTTTTAAAACAGCATTTGGCTGGATTTCTACAAACATAATTATCACTTTTAGTGACTAAAATCAATTTATTTACATCATGGCAATTACAGTTGTAACAGCACTATGTTTTTCTATGATTCATTATTTTCTTTGTGCTTTTGTTTTTTGTTTGTTTTGGTACTGGGGATTGAACTCCGGTCCTCGCACTTGTGAGGCAGGCAGCGGAACCACTGAGCTAAATCCCCAGCCCTGTTTGTTTGTTTGTCAGTTTTTTGGGACAGGGTCTCACTATGTAGTTGAGACTAACCTGGAACTCACTATGTAGCCCAGGCTGGTCTCGAACACAGTGAACCTTTTTAAAACAGCATTTGGCTGGATTTCTACAAACATAATTATCACTTTTAGTGACTAAAATCAATTTATTTACATCATGGCAATTACAGTTGTAACAGCACTATGTTTTTCTATGATTCATTATTTTCTTTGTGCTTTTGTTTTTTGTTTGTTTTGGTACTGGGGATTGAACTCCGGTCCTCGCACTTGTGAGGCAGGCAGCGGAACCACTGAGCTAAATCCCCAGCCCTGTTTGTTTGTTTGTCAGTTTTTTGGGACAGGGTCTCACTATGTAGTTGAGACTAACCTGGAACTCACTATGTAGCCCAGGCTGGTCTCGAACTCACAGTGAACCTCCTGCCTCAGCCTCCCAGACGCTGGGATTACAGGCATGGGCCACCACGCTTGCCTTCTTTTTTTCATTAAGTTTACTGGTACATTCAAAGCAAACAATACAGTTACATTTATCATTGGGATCTTGTACCTTTACACGATGTGTCTTGGTTCTTGTTTTTCACCCATTTCCCTGCCCTCCCTTCACCCTCTTCGCCGTTCCCTACAATGTTTCCCTTCTTTAACAGTCCTAAAGTCAATTTCTAGCAGGCTTCTAAAGAATACAAGGACCTAAAAAATTTAATCAACAGCTCCTACTCTTCATTACACACCAGCTTCCATATTATTGATGCTAATATCTTAGTACATTTTAAATAACCTATACCAACTTTTTAAAGTCAATATTTATCTCTATTTACAAATATGTTTACCAGCTTCCTTACTTGTGACTGATTCATATACTCTCCTCCTTTCTTCCAGGTTTTTTCCTATTAGTTTAGAAGTCATGAAGTCAGTGCACATTCAAGGAGAGCAAAACACACTCCACTTTTGATGGGGAAGTGTTAAGATCATGTAGTAGAAAAGCATGGGAGATGGGAGCTATTACTATGGCCACTTTTAGAAAACACAATCTGCCCAATTTCCTGTTTACTTAAGTGTATCTTTAGTAATTTTTTCAGTAGGAGTCCTATGCGTAGTATTCAACATTTGTATATTTGCAGTGTCTTTATCACATTCTTTATTGAATGAGTACTTAACAAAGTATAGACTTTCAGGTTAGTTATTTGCACTTAGCACTTTGAATACAGTACACTATTTTGCCTTCATTTTATAGATGTCTTATATCAATATGCATTTCTTAGTATATATGTCTTTTTCTTTTCCTCTGTGGTAGCTTTTTTTTTTCTTATTTTGATGTTCACCATTTTGCTTACTGTGTCTAAATGTGGATTTGTTTTTATTTGGCTTGCTCAAAGTTTTAGAGGGCTCCTTCAGTCTGAGGGCTCCAGAACCTGTCCATGTTTAGCCTGGAATAGGCAGTAAAATCTCTTTGTCTCTCTACTGGACAGCGGAAAAGGAATTCTTCCTCTAATTAATGCAGGGAATGTTCCTTGGTGGCCTCTGCCTTTTTGTGAATAATTCAATTTCAGCTATCTACATGTGCTACTCACTGGTTGATTAACTCAATTCCCCTATTATTAGATCTCTAGCACTGTGTAGTTCTCCATAGCACAGCAGTGTTTCAGTTTTACATTTATTTGATTATTTAATTAGGGTCATGACATTCTTTTTTTTTTCCTCTCTCTCATTGAGTTTATTGGTACATTTTAGGTATACAGTAGTTACATTCATCATTGGGATCTTGTACCTTTACATGACAGGTCTTGCTTCTCATTTTTTACCCTTATCCCTGCCCTCTCTTCATTCCCTCCCTTCCCTATTTACAAAAACTTTATTTCCATTTTTTCATTTTCTCATTTTTTTTCCTTTTCCCTTATTACCTTTCCCACTTATCCTATACCTTTATCCCGTTTCTTCCTATTTCACATTGTCAATTGTACCATTAGGATCTTATGTACCATTATAGTTTTTCACACAAGAGAAACTCTTCGGTATTTATACATGTGTGAGTTATTTATTTCACTTAAGAGTATATCCTCAATATGTATCCATTTTCCTATGAATGAGTCTAATTTCTCATTATTTATGGCTGAGTAGTATTCCATTCTATGGAAAAACCACATCTTCTTTATCCAGTCTCCAACTGATGGACAAATGGACTGTTTTCAAGTTTTAGCTATCACAAACTGTGCCGCTATAAACATAAGTGTGCATATATCACTGTGATATGATTCTTCTAATTCTTTTGGAAAGATACTCAGCAGAGGGATGGCTGGGTCAAATGGAACCTCTAGTCCCAGTTCTTTGAGGTATCTCCATATTGATTTCCATAGTGGTTGCACCAGTCTGCACTCCCACCAACAATGGAGAAGGATTCCTTTCTCCCCACAATCCCGCCAACATTTGTTATTGGTTGATTTATTGATAGCAGCCATTCTTTGTGGGGTGAGGTGGAATCTCAGTGTTGTTTTCATCTGCATCTCTCTCAAAGGGGTCATGACATTCTTAAATGAAAAGGAGTATCACTTCTAGTAACAGAGGAAGATTTAATCTTCTATTAACACTTATAAACTTAGAACAAAAAAATACATGCACATGCTTCCATTAAAAAGGGCAAAAAGCTGGTAAAAATGGCAGGAAGTTAACACTTCAAAGAGTGAATGACACTGTGTTACTGTTTCATAGTTTTTCACATGAGGAAAGGCCCAGGTCCAGGCTGGGCAAACCAGCTAAACTCATATTAAAACCTGCAGTCTTAATGCCTGAAGAATCAGAGAATAGACCGCAGGACTAATTCAGCAGCTGGAAAGTAAAAAAGGAGAGCTTCAGGACAGGCAATATCCACTAAGCAAGGGTGACATATTCTACCCCTGGCTTCTGACTACTTCTCCACTGGTCCCCTGAACTATGCTTGTATGGGGCAGAACAGCGTAAGTCCAAATAAATGGAACTAAAGTGAAATTCTGACTGCTGCCTCTGCAGAGAAGACACAGTCAGAACAGAGTTCAGCCAAGTTAATTATCTGCTAATGCAAAACATTAACATTCTTCAGAGGAACACAACAGAATTTAGTTTCTACAAAGTACAGATCACAATACAATTACTAGACATAAAAACAAACAAGAAAATATAAACCATACTCAAGAAAAAAAGCAAGCAATGGAGATCAACCTGAATGAATCCAAATATTAGAATTAGCAAACAAGGACTTTAAAGCAGCTATAAATAGCATAGTTAAGAGCATAAACACTGTAATAAGATGAACAAAGGAAAACTCAGATAACAAATAGGAGTTATAAAAAAACCAAAAGGAAATTTCAGAAATGAATAATACATATGAAATTTAAAATTCATGGATAGTTTAATAGATTAGATATTGTAGAACAAAGAATACAAGAACCTGAAAAATAAAGACATTATATATAATTCATATATAGAAATTGTCCAGTCTGAAGAAAAAAAATGTTGAAATAAATGAACAGATGTCTGAGGTGTCACTCAGTGATACAGCATAGCCCAGCATGCATGAAACTCAGCACTGAAAAAAAAAACATAACAGAGTACCCATCTACCCTTGAGATAAAATCTAAAGACTTACATAGTATAACCGGCATCCAGGAAGACAGGTAAAGATAATAAGATATCAAAAAGCACTCTAAAAATGGATAACCAGTGAGAACAACCAGCACTTAGATCTTGGTTTCTAAATACCATTTTCCAACAAGTGGAACCAGGCCTCTTTGGAGAAAAGGCTGATTCTAAGATGGAGGAGGGGAAATACAAAATGAGCCTAGGGCCGGGGATTTAGCTCAGTGATTCCGGTGCCTCGTAAGCACAAGGACCTGATTTTGATCCCTGGTACCAAAACAAAAAAACAAACAAACAAACAAACAAAAAAGATGAGCCTAGAGCATTACAGCATCATAAAGGCCCAGAAAATAAAGAGGAGGGGGGAGAAAAGAAAGACAAAGAAGATAAGAAAGAAGAGTAGGGCATCTCAGAAGGACACAGGAATCAATCTAAGAGAGTTTCCAATGGCTAGAACAA